TGTAACTTATGGGGGGGGTCTGGTGGGGTTCCGCCCCCCCCAGCGCCTCACAATAAGGAATAAATTACCACAACCCTAGCAACTTTGTTACCTAGTTTCTTGGGTTGGAATAAATTCTTGGGTTGGAATAAATTGAGACCCGTCCTGAACGTAAAACAAATCACTTGGGCGGCGGCGGAGGAGGACAACGCTGTCATTAACGGCTTCGAGGGCATCGGGGGAATTGGCGTTCCTAGGGTACGTGGGTATGCGGCTGGAGGGACCACATACGGGTCGAATCTGCCAAAGTGGGGTTAAGGTCGAGGTAACCGGCGTCGCTATGTCAGTTGCCCTCATGCGCCATCCTCAGCACCTTCCTTCACGTTTTGCTCATCAGTCCACTAAAGTTCAATTGGATGCCTGAACTTCAGTTAACCAATCTACAGTGGACAGGGATTAGTGAGGCAATTGCAATAACGAGTAACCCTGCGATAGCGCGTACAACCCCAATGCGCTATGTGTGGCTTCCCCGCTGCAGGCCAGGGCCGAGTGCACTTTCCAATGCACCGCCAACACCGTGGCGGACCGCCACGGTGTTGGCGGACCGTGTTTTCGACATCTACTACAACGTGCTCGACGGCTCAAAGCCCCCGTGTGTGCGGCGCCGCTCCAACACCAGCGGCGGCAGCTCCGTCAGTGGCGGCAGCACCGCCAGCAATGGCGGCAGCGGTGCGGGCGGCAGCCGCGGAAGCATGGGGAGCGGCAGCCGCAAGCGGGCGCCCGAGACGGACAAGGAGGACACGGCGACAGGCACGCAGCACCGGCCGGTTCGGTCGGGGGCAGGGTGGCGTGCGGTGGGTCTGCCCCCGTTGCCGCCGCGTGCACGCACTCAGCCTGCGGTGGCGGGGATTGGCTCGGCGACGTCGGGCATGGCGGCGTTGGGCCTGACCGAGGCCGGGATGTTGCTGGATGATGATGATTACTGTGTGATTGTGGAGTAGTCCTATAGCGATGTGGATAGTTTGGAGCTGCGTTAGGACTTTAGCTCCGTTGCGCGTACGCAGGAACCCGTTAGGTCTGCCTTTGTTTGCCGACTGGGCTTTGGTGATGGTTCCTTTGCGAGGTGCGGTTGACGACCTCGGGCCACTGTAGGCTCGCGCAGCCCACCAGGGCGCGAGGTACTTTGCGTGATGCAAGTAGACTTGACTCAGTTCGAACGATGCGCCATGAGTTTCTTCATTTACATTCATGAGCACATTCTATTTAAATCACGGAGTTCCCTTCTAGGCTTTGCCTTGGTCCCTTTTAGCATAAATGTTTCATCGTAGTTGGCAGACATTTCACTGACATAGAAGTCGCTGCCCGCCTTTGCAACAGGCCCATCCTCAGCGTAATACATGGTATGGGTCTGTGGTGAGAGGTATGGCCATAAGATGAAGGACCAGGGCTCCTTGGTAAAGGTTGTGTTTGCGTGTGGAAGGGCGCACATTGGTCTGCAGTAATTTGGTGGCCATTTCGGCATAAATGTTTCCTATACATACTAAAGGAAGTGTTACCCAGAATAATTGCAAGAAGGACTGAGGCTTGGGCGGCCACCAAATCGCCCTCAGCCGCGAGCAGAATCTCTGGCACCTTCGCGCTCAGCTAGATATTAGAATAATTGCCTTGCCCAGCAGGCGAAGTTTCAGCGTTTGTGGATCTGGCCAAAGCCGACGCTGGAGCTTGAACTTGTGTGTACGACGTGTGAGGTTTTGGCGCGCTAGCATGACTATTTAAGCGGACCAAATAATAAAAATTGTAAGTCTTGAGATTGAAATCCCAATTATAACTACTTTCGTAATCAGCTGTGTCAAGGACTAAGCCTTGTTACAGTTTAGTATCTTTGACCAACCGGTCAAAAGGACCTCGGAGCCCTCTGCGCGCTCAGACAGCCGTCTATACGTGTTCTCCATACCTACAACAAATTAAGTAGCAGCCAGTCCAATTACAAGTTTTATATCTTATATCATATATCTCATCAACTAAACCTGTTCAGATGGCTGCGTTTCTTACCATGGAGCAGATCGAGGAAATGATTGAAAAGTCCATGAGCAAGGCCGTGAGCAAGGCCGTCGACGAGGCCGTTAGCAAGGCCGTGAGCAAGGCCGTGGACGATTCCGTTAGCAAGGCCGTGGACGAGGCCGTTAGCAAGGCCGTGACCAAGGCCGTGGACGAGGCCGTTAGCAAGGCCGTGAGTGAGGCCGTGGCTCCGGTAGTGACGGAGCTGCGGACCCTTTCGGGCAGGGTGGAGACCCTATCGGGCGAGATGCGTCAACTATCAAACAAAGTTGGAGTGCTAACCGCCAAGCAGCACAACTCTTTGGTGGGCCGAAGTGATTTGCTGCAGAAGGTTCCTCTTCATGATGGCTCTCTTCCTGAAGGGGACTACCCGAGAACAATCATGGAGGTCATCGTGCCTGGAAACGAGGCACTGCCAGATGGTTCAATGAACATGTGGAATAAGAGCAAGTCTCGATGTCTGCTACATCAGTACCAGGATGACAGTGGAGAAGAGAGCGGCACTGATGACGAGCAATCATCGAGATCACTTGCAAGGAGACTGAGATTGGCTCGTTGTTTGGGTATCTCGAATATCCAATTAAATTTTGCACAAATAAGCCTTTAATTGGGCTCTTGCTGTCTATGCTCTGCACCTGTGAAGCTGGTTTCAGCACTGCCACACTGGTCGTCTGCGGCATCACCCCGAAGTCAGGCAGTGTGGTGTTAAAGAGCTTTATCATCTTGCGCCGCATGCTACGCATACTTTTAGCACCATATTTCAATGGATTTGTTGGATGGGCTAAACAACACCCGCGTGTTCTGTTTGTGGTCGGTTGGGGTTTGGCACCCGGAAATGGTATCTAGGTCGAAGATAATTCAGTTTGACATGTTTGGTCGCGTATTGTCCCGTCCAAATCCGGACGAGCTCGAACATTGTTATACCAGAAATAAAAACTATGTGTGAACGGTAGTATGTATGCGGCGTGTTTTTGCACTACGCCTCGGACACTATGTCCGCATTAGTGGCACACTAGTTATCAGGGCCTCAGACCTGCTGATAACTTTCAAAGTGGACATTAACTTCCGAGCGGGAAAATTCATAGTCAGCCATTTTCCTTCCTCAAGGCCCTACGCTGGCTTTTCTATTTTCCATTATCCATAGTCGCAAATAGCCCGTTGACCAGTGAAATTTAAAGCAGAACCGGTCGAATTGCCCACATTCCAGCAATTAGCCGACCAAACTGTAGTGATTTGCGCATTAAATTACACCCACTCTTACTATAACAATGGTTAGTGCCTTAATAGTAACCTGTCGTATGGTTCCGGGGCGCTTAATAGAAACACCTGTCCACAAGCCACACACTAAGTCCACGTTAAAGATAATGTTCAAAAGTTAGTGTGAGGCCAAGTGGAAACACCCTGTTAGTACAATAACCCACACTAGTTAACAAGACTTTAGCACTTCAAATGGCCAGCGTGCGCCGAGGAAGTTGGATACCGCTGAAATTGAGTTAAAATGGAGCTCAAGATACTCCAAATGCTGGAGCTGGTGTTACCACTTATGTGCTGCAAGGTCCCTTGAACCTTTTCTCATGGAAGGAATGCAGCGTTCTGCTAGGACGGTCAGATGTTAGCAAATCTACTGTAGCCTAGCAACAATAGCTACCCGCGCAAAGTGCACGGTTGACCCCTTAAGCAGCCTGGCCCCAAACCTATGCGAAAACTACAACTTGAGCAAGCTTGGTGAACGTGTTCTGCTGGTATACTTTGAATAACCCCAAAGGTTATCCATGAAAACCGGAAGACTTTGAGTACGGTGTATATGAATACACCTGAGATGGGTGGATGTGATGAAGTAAGGAGTTATTTACATGTTTATATGGAATGCCGATATATCAGGCGTTAGAGTTACAGTCATGGTGGACGACGAAGAAACGCGTTTGCTTTGCCGCAAGCGCTGCAGGCACAATTTGTTGATTCTCTTAATCACGTTCAAGGAGTAGACGCTTTGTAAAGCGTTAGAGGCGCGACACCAGTCGGAAGGCCTGCCGCGGCGTGCTGAACGGCTGAGGAGGAATGACGCTTGAAAAGGGCAAGAGCTAAGGCCAGGAACAGATACAGCAAACGCTCCAGGATAAAGCCAGGACGCGGCTCAATAACCCTGCGCCTCACCAGGTATGCGATAGGCGGGCGAGCAGGGCTCGAAAGCTATTCAATATGTATGTTTCATAGCGGCATCTCCACAGTATCATTTGGCTATGCTTTGGCAAGTCCCTGTGCAGCTCTTGAGTCAGGGATTATCTGGGCATGCCCCGCAAATCGCAACCCGACAGATTAATGCACGTTGCCACCTAATTATGGGGACATACATGGATTCTTAATTCCGTCATGATTCCATCTGCCAAACCACTCGCCTTGGCTGCAATCCCCGGAGGCCACATTCCCCGCCTTCCTCTACGTCCCCTCGCCTCAGGCTTCACCCCCGCACCTTCCCAGTCATCTTTAAGCCGCCGCGCCACCCTCAACAACTCTCAAATCCTTTAGTCATTTGGGTTTCTCGCTGCCTTCCTGAGCTGCCACCGCCTACGCATTCGGTTTGGGGCCTGGGCTCGTGTCTCTCACCTCTTTAGAACTTCAATACCCCTTGCTTATACTCGCTTGTTACCCGACCCTCTACCTGATCTCCTACGTGTCTTTACCGTACAGCCTGTTCTACGTGGCCTAGCCGTGAGGCTTGTCGTACGTAGCCTATAGACGTGCGTCCTATCCCAAANCTCACCACTGCCCTGACCCCTCCATCTTATTTGCTGCGGGCTTTCTCATTCGCCCCGTGTGTGACTGTATGTCTGG